TCAGAAAATGCTGATGTTCCTGAAGAAATTTCTCACATAATAATCCCGAATGAATAAATATCAGAGGCTTGAGTAAACGGTTTTCCATTTAAAATTTCTGGCGCAATATAAGGAATGGCGCCATAAACTTCTATAGATTCTGTGTTTAATGCCTTGTCAACCGATTTTGCAAATCCTAAATCACCAATATACGCACTATATTTATCATTTTGAAATATGTTACCACTATGTAAGTCGCAATGAACATAATTATGGGAGTGAATTAATTTAAGATCTAATGCAATGTAAGATAATATATTTAATTTTTTTTCCCACTGCATTCGTGCGATAGTATGAAGATTTTGACGCAAAGATCCCATTCTTGCAATATCCATTACTAATATGTAATCACCGGTTGTATTATCTCTTGACAATCCAAAACATTGTAAAAATGTAGGAAATTTAGAACATATGTCCGAATATGCATTAATCTTTTAAAATTGTATTAATATTAATAATTAATAAAAATAATAACTAAATATTCAATGAAATGTTATAAACATTTACCTCTCTTATAAGTCCTATACAACCATCCTTATTTTTTGAGCCATGATATATTTTAAGTGCAGTGTCAGTATTAGGTACAGTATCCGGGATTGAATTAACCCATCTACCGGAATAAACAGTTGCAAATCCACCTTTCCCAATTTCTTTCATAATTTTTAGATTGTTAAATGGAATCCAATCCATTAAAAGGCTGTCTTCAGAAAGTGAGTCTTTTATAAAATCATCAATTTCACTATTTTAAAGAAAAATATATCTTTTATATTTTCGAATATCGATATCAATTGGTTTTCGTACTTTTTCTAACAATTCTATAGCCTTTTCTTGATTCGGTGATGTACCAATACCATTTCGATAGCATAAACCAAGTTCATGTTGTCCACGACTATGACCACCTTCTGCAGATTTTAAATACCACTCAAATGCTTTCTTTTCGTCCATGACAGTACCTTTGCCAAATTGGTAATAATATCCAAGATTACATTGTCCGGTTGGATCACCACCTTCGGCAGACTTTAAAAACCACTCGTAAGCCTTTTTTTCATCCACAGTTGTGCATACCCCAGTTAAATAATAAAATCCAAGACTAGATTGTCCGCTAGGAACACCCTCTCAGCAGATTTCAAATACCACTCAAATGCTTTCTTTTCATCCTTTGCGATACCTATGCCCATATCATAGCAAAGCCCAACATTAAATTGCCCACCAGGGGAACCACACTTAGCAGATTTTAGAAGTAATTCGAATGCCTTCTTTTCATTCTTTGCAGTGCCAATGCCTTCTTTATAACAATTTTCGAGATTACATTGTCCACTAGGATGACCACCTTCGGCAGATTTTAAGTACCATTTAAATGCTTTCTTTTCATCCTTAGAAGTACCCACCCCATTTTCATAACAATATCCAAGAAAATTCTGCCCCTCGATGTCACCGCCTTCAGCAGATTTTAAGTGCCATTCAAATGCTTTCTCTTCATCCTTGGAAGTACCAATACCATATTGGTAACAATATCCAAGATTAAACTGTCCAGAAGGATTGCCACTTTCAACAGACTTTAAGTAACATTCGAATGCTTTCCTTTCATTTTTAACGGTACCTACACCATTTTCATAGCATAATCCGAGATTATGTTGTGCGTTGGAATTTCCACTTTCGGCGGATTTAGAATACCATTCAAATGCTTTCTTTTCGTTTTTATTGAGGCCTATACCTTTTTCATAGCATATTCCGAGATTATGTTGCCCATTGGAATTTCCACTTATAGCAGATTTCAAATACCATTTAAATGCTTTTTTTTGGTTCCTATTCCATATAGATAACAAAATGCAAGATTACATTGTCCGTTGGAATTTCCACCTTTAGCAGATTTTAAATAGCATTCATATGCTTTTCTTTCGTCTATGTCGATATTTATTCCGAATTGATATCGATATCCAAGAATTAAATATTCATCAAAGTCTTCAGCACAAGATGAACGTAATCCTAATTCATCCATGATAATGATCGCGATGGTAATGATGATTTCTGAGATTAATTTTTATTTTTATTTTTATTTTTTTCAATATGAAAGATTTAAAGGTAGATTTAACAAAAAACAAAGCCAATTGTTGTATAATACGACAAGAAGTTGTTATAACAATTTATAAATTTTTGTCCTGATCATCATTTGTGGCATGGAATATGGCTAAACTATTTTTCTTCGTGTTGTACCGTTCATTGTACCTAGAAACGGATAGTTTGATTTTCATTTTTGTATATAACGATTAATATAAAGAAATCTATGATTCTATTGCACTTAGAGGTCCAATCCGGATAAATCCGTCATCCATTTATCCATATCTGAATTTATCCGGATATCCATTTACTATTGGTATCTGGATAATCAGACAAATATTCGGATAATTATCCGGATATCAATAGTAAAACGGATATCCGAATAATTTCAGATCTGGATATCCAACGGATAAATGGATAAATGGATAATGGATAGGAACTCTAAAATTGCACTTTACAGAATCTTTTAATTTTGCAAAATATTAATATCATATATATAAAATATAGTTTACTCGTAGCCAACCAATTTTTATAAACGAGAAATTAAACCCTTGCTTATGGTTAGGATAAGGGTAGGTTTTGGATAGGGATGTTAACAGTCCAGTCTGGTTTAGTCTGTAAATTTTCGTCCAAGTCTGGTCTGGTCTATTGTGGTCTTCAGTCTTAAGACTTTGTTAGTCCAGATTAGTTCAGACCGGTCCAATCTTAAGACTTAGAGCAGGCCAATTTTTTTTAGGTTTAGACCGGTCTTAAGATTAACTGTGGTCTATTAATCTAAGGCAGGGCCACATAACATCCATAGGTTTGGGATTGGAGCGAAGCATAATTTATACCAAAATTTCTCAAGGAATTTTTTTTTTTTTGTTGGAAGCCAAAAGTTGGTTAATAATCAAAAATTTTGAAAATAGAAATTGCCATAATTATACTATTAATTTTAAATATATAATACTTATATTATTATTGTATGTTAATGATATAATAATTATATAATTATATTTATTATGATAACTCTATTGTAATCATATTTTTAAAAATTCAAAGATTTGTAAAGCATGTGATATCTGAATTTTATTTTATTGCACACTAGAATATGTTGCTTGTGAAAGTTTTTAACTAATATTATGCCGTATTTTTATGAGTCCTATAGGCATATTTTACCGTACATTACACTAATTATTTAATTTTGGTGGAATTATTAGTTTTGGATGTCGAAATCTGATTTCGTTAAACAATTGAAAAATACGTGCAAAATCAATTTAATATTTTCTAGCATTTTAAGTTGTTATATTGTAGAGTTAGTTTTTGTGTTTATAAATTGTCTTTTAATTCAAAGCTTTTATTGCATTGTAAATGTTTAAGCTTTATTATATAGAAATTTCATTCTTCTATTTCGAATAGGTAACAGTCTTATTCAATAGTATTTAAATGATATCAGCTTACCTTTATCATCTTTACGCAGTCTCAATGAAACCAATCTTAATTTTTTATTATGATAACCAATATATATATATTTATTCGTTGTAATTGGAAGATTTTAAAAAATATCAATTTAGTTATATCTTCTGTTGCAAATCATCACGCAACAATTGTTGAAGTACCCTAGTCACGACAAACTATTCAAATTTCGACCGAAATATCCCAATAACTACTTATCTAAGATAGGTAAAAAAATCTTTATCTTAATTGTATGAATACACAGAATTAAATACAAAGATTTTTTGATAACCGCCTAAATTTTTTTTTGAACTTTGAGCGATAATATCTCAATAACTGCTTACCTCAATTCAATGAAAATTTTTTAATTTTAATTCTATGAAACCATAGAATTAAATAAAAAATCATGTATTGATCTTAAGTAGGTAGTTATCGAGATATTATCGCTCCAAAAAAATTTATGAAATTATCAAAATTGTGGCTTCAAATTTTGGATGAAGCGCGGCTAGGATAAATTATTACATGACATGCACAGATTTCGTAAATGCATTGATGAGTTATCAATCATCACTTTGGCTAGCACATACGCATAAATAGTACTTTGTGTTCGATAATAAATGGTCGTGCTCACGTACAATTCAGTTTTCTAATCGTCTAAACAAGAGCCCTGAAAGAATTTTAACTCGATGGAATTTAGAATTAACAACTCCATTCAATGATATTGTTTTACCGACTGCATGGGGTATTGAAAATAATTCACCATCTATCAACATAGATTCAAGTGGACTGAAAGTGAGTTATACTGGTAAGATAAAAATGAGGAAAGAGAAATCTCACAAAAGGCATTTCAATTTAATAAGTGTTAATTGTTTATAGTATAACTAAAGAACAATACATAACTGTTAATTTTATTTTTTAAAAAAAAACTTTTCTAAAGATTCTGATGATAATAAAGCTGTTATAATTCGAGCAAATCATCCAATTTCTTCACAGTGTGGGATATTTTATTTTGAAATTAAAATTATAAATAAAAGAAAAGTGGGTATGTCAATTATTTCCTGACATAAACACGCCCGCATCTATTTTTTTTATTTTGTAATTTTTTATTCTATTTTTTTGTCAGAATGATTGGAGTCGGATATTGTACAAACCAAATGATATTGGATTAATATGTATTAAATACGATTCCTGCTAGGTTCTTCATTAAGTGTGTCTATATACATAGGTATAATAATATCTGCTCCCTCGAATCAGAGCGTCCAGGAGCTCTTTTCTATTCGGCGTATACGTAATATTGATAAAGTGTGTAAACTTAATATAAGCTTGGCCAAATTCTATTCCCTTGAAGATGATATGCTATTTTTTCATATGCAATATTCGCTAGACGATTTTAAAAATTCACTTAAAGTCATAAAGCGAGAATAATGAATTCTAGTAGAAGATACATCAAATTTCTCGTAAACATCATCCTATGCTTTAAGTAATAATAATCTGGCAATAAGCTCTCCACGATATCCACCTTCTACTATACCGTTTTTAAGCACTGAGGTAAGTGTATTAATAAGTTCTATAAGACCAATTTCTGGATCATTCATTATTTGAGCAGATGCTTCTGCCAACACAGCTTCAGAAGGCATAGATATAATAATGCTTTTATGATCATTTGAGATCTTCAAACAAAGGCGCATATAGCTTGAAACCAGGTCAGATGCATATTCAGACTGTGGTACTATGTCTATACATAAACGGAGACCTAAGATAGCCAATGATTCCACGGGTTGATTTTATTTTTATTTCTTTTTTTTTTTATATTCCTCTTTTTACCAAGTGTAAGCCGTTCCACCAACAAGCTTATCCATGGCCAAATTGATAATCTCTTGTAGTTCGTATGAAGACAACATTAGTGAACTCCATAAGGGCCTTTCTATATATAAAGAAATATTGTGGATGTTTGGAATCTTCAATATTGCTGATTTTTTAATATCAACATAGTGTTTATCAAATAAAATAGTTTAAATAATTGAAATCTTCCAGCAGCGACACATCATATTTGGAAGCAGGTAAAAGGTTCGAAATATTTGAAATTGTATCCGTAAAAGCAGCAAAAGTTCCTGTATTATTAGGTAAAAGTTTTAAACTATAACGAAGATGATAGAATAGATTCCCATTTCCAGGTTTGTTCTTGTTATCAACTAGGACACGGGCCTCATCAAACGCGAATAGATATTTAACTGCATTGTCTCGTGTTAATGTACTATCCACTTTCAAGTATTTCCTCTCTAACTGTATGCTTGTCAATTAGTTTGCTTTTAATATCAGTCATTCTGTAATCAAAATCCTTCCAGAAAGACTCCTGTAGGTTTTCTCTAGTAAACCATTCTTTACGGATTCCTCAAATTTTTGAGCACATGCGCAAAAATAAGCAATAGGTGGATAAAGCATTATTTTCATCGTTAAACTGAGATAATAGTGCATTGGCAATATATGATCTTGGTGGATAGCCACTTGAGTTATGGTCACGTAAACAGCAGTATATGGTGCTAATATCTTCTGCATTTTTTTTTAATTATTCTGATTTTCCTATGCTACTAGCCTGAATTAAAGTCGTGTATGGAGCGTAATAATTTCATATCTTTCTGTAATTATACGAACATTCATTGATGAAAATTTTGAAACCTTGTCAAAAGATTACTTGGATCTTTGAAATCAATATCAAAGACCTTTCGGACAATTTCTGTTTCTTTACTATTAATTGGAGGCTCTAATAGATAAATCAAAAATTTCAAATTACTCAAATGAGAAACAGTTCATAAAATTAGCCACTAGAATAATACTATTTATAATCGGCTTACTTGAACCTGCGTCTGCTACTTTTGCATAATAAGCATCAGAATAAACGGGATTAATTCAGATTATTTGCGATCAGCTAGTAATTTAATAACATACCTATTTCTACGTCAGATATCCTGACTGGATTATCAATAGAACATTTCTGTTGTTCAATAAAATCAATAAAATCCCCTTTTGACCAGCTAAGTTTTATGTTTTTATTATTAATAGTAAGCACATCTATCTGACCATAAATGAAAGTTTTCTCAAACTAATTTGTTCGCTTTGCTTAACTATGGATATAGTGTCACGGGCAGAATAAATCGTGACCACCTAAAGCGTGACCCAAACGACGATCGGGTCCCGGATCGGTGAACGATCTGCGATTATGGCGCAACAACGATGCCTCGGGCTTT